CATCAGCGACCCCAGTTTGGAAGCTCGAGGCAATTTGATGTTGGGAATTCTGAAGCGCAGCTTGCACAACTACTTCCTATTGGAAAGCGACAATAAGAACCAGCCTGCTAACTTCATTGCGAACAAGGTGACTGGTATTGTAAGTGACAACCCCATCGCCCCATTCGTGGTTGCATGACTTACACAATATCTAGCTCTTTGAGAACAAGGTAGATCACACTACCTACTTTGGAGCCAATCTTGAATATATTCAAGGGTATGTTAGGGCTTCCCGTTTGTCTCGTCTTCCTGCCAGGATCAACAATTAACTCGTCTAGAATTCACATGTTGCCACTAATGCCATTCTCCGGATTTACTCGAAGGCAGAACTTCGTCCGCGAAGAGTGGAATGCTCTTTTCGCAAGCACTGCCAGTACCCCTGCTTCAAACGTGGTTGGGGGTTGGAAGGGTGTTTTGTATGCCAACTTGGCTCTGATCGATCCCGCAACCTCGTGGGATTTCTTCGCGCAGTCCAATTTCGACTACAGCTGGATTGACGGTGGTGCCTCTCGGACATGGTATCTGGCTTATGCAGCCGGTAAGTTCGATACTTTGGGTAGCTTGAAACAGTTTAGTACTGACCACATCGATAGCTTTGGGAGGAGCCTAGTACGTGAGAGGTCGGTGTTAGTGGAGAATGTAATTCATATATTTTCGCTATTTATGGCTTCGACTTCCGTTCTGTTCGGGCGACATGAAGGAGATGTCTATGCCTGAAATTTTCTTATCTTATACAATCTATACCATTTGTCGATATAGGCCTTTTCGTGTCACAGGCAATGATGGATTACTGCAAATGACGAGGAACCCGTGTCATAATGACCAATCCATACTAGTGAGGTATTGGTCTTAGTTTTGTATGGTGTAGGTGAAATTGCAGCTGCAGCGTTTGTTTGCAAACAGCTTGTTTGACACGGAGTTCAGAGTCGTAGGAAAGCATGAGTAGGGTTATTTATTGGCTACATCGGCATGCCAAGCGAGCCCTGACCAACGCATGAGACTGTTGACATTATAGGTGTGGCAATGCATCCATCTGGTGCATATTAGATAGATCCCTGGTATGGGTAACCCTGTCCTGTGGAACTTTCAGCATGGGCCCGATAATTGATACAAATGATGGAATCAACTCATCAATCGGAAGACGCTTCGTTCTTTCGCACATTTACATTCTAGCGTCGCTACTAGGTCGAGAGAGCGACTAGACTGTCCATCTATACGTGATACCTAGTAGATACTCCGTACAGAAGTGGTATTGATCGAGACTTGCAGTGGTAGTTAAGCTCGGCTCATGCCCCACCTCCGACATTCCCAATCGGGTCAAGCTTCAGTATGAAGCTGCCGATGATGCATGCATGTCAGTGATTCTTACAATGGTCTGTTCTCTCAAATGTCAAGCTTTCCAGCAAGTGTCCCTACACTGCCTTGGGGTATGCATTTTACTGGACCTCTGGGCCCGGTTAATTAATTGTTGATGGTGGCACACGATTCGGTCCAGACAAATCCTTAAGGAGTTCGTATCGCTGAGCGGCTAGTGTCAGTGTCCCTCGTTGACTGTCGTGTCTCCCCCAGCCAGCCATGATTTCATCAGCATCTCCATACGATGTGACCCAACGTCATCTCAATCGAGAATAACCTCGATATTAAAAGGTGTGCTGCTATCCACCCCCTTCTACCCCACTCATCGCCACAAAGGTTTCTTCAAGTCTTCACTATTGACAACCTGATCTTCTCCCTCAAGGTCGTCGATCGGTACCCAAGCAGCAGGACACCACCCGTGGGATACTCGAATTGGGGCTGTGCACCGCACCTGCCACCTGCTCTTGTGGTCCCAGCCATCAATCTCGATCCACCCGACCTTTCACAACCAATTGTCGTGGCTAGTGGAACTCTCGGAATCTTGTTCATTGTTCAGCGACTCATTGCAGTACGTCGGCCCTCTTAAGCCATCCTCTTGGCTTCCCTTACCCCCCTGGTTCCAATCCCCTCTTTTCGAGACCCTAGCTGTGTCGTTGGACTGAGAGCTTCATCACAACCGCGCGGTCATTCCCTTCCCATTATCATACTACCGAGTACAAGGCTTCCTAGCACACCGAGAATTACGTGGCTTGTGCTTTAGGCCTGCTTGGACTCGCAAAGGAACAAGAACCACCCTCTGCGGCAAGCCACACAACGTTCAATCCCAGCACGTCCGATCACGAGCTCTGACTTTTGTCAATCGATCCTGCAGATTTGAACTAATTACCGGCTTACAGCTCCAAGGACAATCCATACTACTGTCAAATCTCCCCTTCTTATAATTCTCCGACTGTCGCAAAGTTGTGGCTTTGTTTCCTTGCCACACTACATCTTTTCCGATGTGTAAGTGTTTGAACCACAGTTCCTTGGCTCTGCCAATCCATGTTTCGACCGTTTCTGGGAAGCAGTAGTGCTACCACCTTGTCTTTCAACTCCAATTACTCCACCCCCATTTCCTCACCCTTATTTACTTCACTGGCCCAGGTTTTGGCATCTGCTCGTCTCCTTCAATCCTTTCCGCGTCTTTCCTTCTGATCGACGGCGCAATCTGGTCGTCATTCCCTCAGCATTTCTCACTCCGGCCCCATCATTACTCCATCATTCTACAACTACTTTCATTCTATCACCCTCCAACTATTATTCCCGTCTTTCAAACTCATCCCAGACTTGCTTGAAAGCTATAAAGCAGAAGTTGGATGATCGATTATCTTATCCACATTCTCTTGTCGCTTCTGTGAATTTTTCTCTTTTTTTTACATCTTCATACTCTCTAGTCTGCTTTGCGCCATCCACCATAATTAGTCCACTCAACACTTTTCGCTAACAAGTTTCTGTTATTGGCCTCGCAGCGGCTACAAGCATTCGCTCGACAGTTCGAAGGGTCTCCTGGGGACCCAGAAGAAACATGACTGGATTCTCGTCAAGAAATGGCTCCGTCGAGCCGCCAGATGAGAGACAGGCTTTGATCAGCGATACAGCTCGCATCAACTCTGGGTTTCGCCAGCAACGTCAGAAGCCTCGACACCACTGGTCTCATTGGCCTAGACGAGTTGCGCATCTAACATGGTCGACACTGGTCCGCGATTATGTCAATGTCCTTCTCGTTTTCGTGCCTCTGGGCATCATCGCAGGTGTTCTGCACTGGGATAGCACCGTCATTTTCACGCTCAATTTCTTGGCAATCATTCCTCTGGCCTCGCTCCTGAGTTTTGCAACCGAGGAGCTAGCCGCGACGATGGGTCAGGCTCTAGGTGGCTTGATGAATGCAACATTTGGCAATGCCGTTGAGCTGATTGTAAGTCCGCTTGCTAGAGCCCTCTCAAAATGGTGTTTGGTCTAACACGAATGGTCGATTCAAGGTTAGCATAATCGCTTTGAAAGACAATCAGATTCGAGTTGTCCAAGCCAGCATGCTTGGAAGCATTTTGTCCAACATCTTGCTCGTCCTTGGATGTTGCTTCTTCATTGGGGGATTACGTTACTCCGAGCAAACTTTTAACAGTACAGTAGCATCAACCATGTCTTCGCTGATGACCGTCGCTTCCGCTTCTCTCATCATTCCTGCTACGCTTTATGCCTCTCTAAGCGGGTCTGACAAGGGGGAAAGGAGAGATAACATCCTGATTCTTTCCCACGGAACCGCCATCATTCTTTTGATACTCTATGTAATGTACCTTTACTTCCAGCTCAAGTCTCACGCGGAACTTTTTGAAGAAGCCAACAACGAAATTAATGACGCCGAAAACCAAGCGGGAGACGCGGGAGCAGAGGAGGAAGAGGAAAGACTGCTCAACCCATGGGCTGCCACAGTTGCTTTGATTGTCGTGACGATTCTGGTGGCTATCTGCGCCGACTACCTCGTAGGTAGTATCGACAGCATTGTACAGAAAACTGGCATGAGTCGTACGTTCATTGGTCTTGTTTTGATTCCCATTGTCGGCAACGCTGCCGAACATGTCACCGCCGTGGTTGTTGCTTGGAAGGGCAAAATGGATCTGGCTATCGGAGTTGCCATCGGGAGCAGTCTCCAAATCGCGCTGTTTGTTACTCCCTTCCTCGTCATTCTTGGCTGGATCATGAATGTGGATATGACACTGCATTTCCATATTTTCGAGACTGTCGCGTTCTTCATCTCTGGTTTGGTCGTTACTTTCCTGATTCAGGATGGAAAGTCTAACTACCTTGAAGGCGGGCTATGTCTGGGAATGTAAGCATCCTAGCCCCCATCCTATGATGTTTGGTCGCTCAAGTCACTGACTATGATCATAGGTACATCATTCTCGCACTCGCGTTCTATGTGTATCCGGACAGTGCTAGCGACGATGCTCTGTTCAATCATTGAATGTAGCATCTCAGAGCGATGTGGGAGCCTGTTTTGTCAATGCTGTTAGCATTCTTCGGTCTCAAACTCTCGCGCTTGCTCAACAATCTTCCGTCCTTCTTCAACTACTCATTTTGTGCATCTAGCTCATGCTGTATGTAATACAGCTGTGATTTTTCGCGTCTGGTAAGCGGCGGCAGTTTTCATTTCTCGGTGTTACTGTTGGTGGCTCTTTGTTTCTGCTCTGCTGGACGAAAAACGCTGCAGGCCAGTTCAGTAGTTAATTATCGTACTCTGTTGCTTCTACAAGCGTGCCGTGGTGGGTACGGAATTCAAACAAGCTTCGTGAGTTCAATTACGGCGTAAAATTGTCTCTATTGCAGGTGCCAGACTGTAGAGTGCAAAATCTCTGGGATTGGAAATTGTGTCCAGGATCTTCGATAACTCAAGTCTAGAATGATGTAGTGTACAAAAACATCGTCATAGTTGTGGCGGTTCTCGTTTCCTCCTTCACATTCGCTGGAATCTTGGCAGTCGATGACTCAGCAAATGTGGAGGAGGAAAATCGTTCGCCGGACTTCATGGCGAGGAGCCAGGCCCGATTAGAGTGACTTCATCCACTTTCATTCCCTTCCAATTGACAGATAGTCCCCGGTCATTGAAGGCCTTATATCGCCATGCCGCCGCGTCTCAATCTCTTCACCGCAAGAGCGGTTCCCGCTTTTTGCCAGCCTTCGACGGCCGCTGCCCGCCGCAGCATCGCGACTATTTTGAATGCCAACCGGCCCTCGACCACCAATGGCGTGAAGTCCGGCCTCTCAGCTTCGGCCCAGATGACGAAGCGTTGGAACTCGTCCGGTAGCGATGGAAAGGAAAAGTCAGAGGGCTTTAAGGGTCCGACAGAGGACCCATTGCCTCATGTTAGTGAAGAGGCCGCCGAGGTCAGCAAGATCATGGATAAGAGATGCGATGGCGTTGCCTCCAGCCCGGAACTGGAGCAGGGAACGCCTATCTCTGAGGTGAGTAGCTCGTCTGGACTGCCGTTGCCTCTTCAGCGCCATGTCTTCCCTTGTGCTTCTAGTAGCGTCTAAACACTAACGTTGACTACTTTTCCGCGTAGATCTTACAGCGTGACAAGAATGCTCAAAAACATGCCCCCAAAGTCATGCAAGACCAAATGAAGAATCAGTCGGGCAAGCGCTCATTCTCAACATCTGCTCGCCGCATGCAACCAGAATTACAAAAGTCGGCTGATTTCGACGACGCTTCGGCTGCCCTTGTGGCGAACATGGTTTCTCAGGTTAACGCGCAAGCTGCCGAGTTGCACCCTGGACTTAAATTCGATGCGCCCAGCAAGCCTTTGGGCAAGACCGATAACTTCCGTTCCCGATACGACGGACTACTGGAGCAGCTCACAAAGCAGCTCATGCGTGATGGCAAGTTGTCCAGGGCTTACAAGGTATGTGGCTAACTCATGGGACTTGGTCCTCTGAGCCATAGTCATGCTAACTGCAATTCTTTGGCAGGATATGTCGTTCATTCTGGACCACCTGCGGACTTCGCCTCCACCCAACAGGAACCCAAGGCGACCTTTGCTTCCCGGCCCTCCTAACGCCCAGCTTCCTCTGAACCCCATCCTCTACCTCACTCTCATCATCGACTCCGTTGCCCCCTTGGTCAAGATCCGCCAACAGAAGGGTATTGCTGGTGGTGGTGCAGCGGTGCAGATCCCTGTGCCCCTCGCTCTCAGACAGCGTCGGCGGACGGCCATTCGGTGGATCATCGACGCTTCGGACAAGCGTCGGGACAGCAACTTCGCTATGAGAGTTGCACAGGAGCTGGTTTCCGTTGCGGAGGGCCGTAGTGGTGCGTGGGATCGCAGAGAGATGGTGCACAAGCTTGGTGTTGCAGGCCGGTCGAACCTTGGATACCTCATGAACCGGAAATAGTTGTTTTGTATCACCAGTTTGATTATGCCATGATTGCAGCGACGGGGTTCAATCTAATTGCATTCCATGGGATACGGGTTCAGGAATTGGCTACTTGCTTTTGGGGGATGTTGTATTTTCTTTTTCTTAATTTCTCCCAGTGTGTATCTCTTACTTTGTTCGTCTCTTCCTTTTACAAGCCGAGTCACTGTCTCAAAGAGTTCTGTATATTTCATGTTCGCCGATCCAAATCTTCCAGCAATCGCCGGAAAGGTGAAGCTCCCCGATAACCTCCGGATGACTAACGCCCCCTTCCCGATTGGGTTGTCTCGGCGTCAGCTGTAGCAGTTTAGCTCAGCTCAGCTCCAACGTTTCCTACTTCAATCTGACTTTTTGTTTCCCTAGGATAGAAAATAAACCTATTTCTCTCTCATTGCTTTTTACTGTTTCTCATCAGCTCTGGTTTTGACAGGTTCTCTGGCACATTGCAGTTTTAGACGTGCGTTGGCCGTTCGACGAGACCGGAGTTTTGCACAGCCATCGACTACTACCCGGGGACGATAACGATACCATTAACTAAACCACGAAACGAGTGTCGTTATCAACCAAGACTAGTGCGCTAGCGTTCGAAGGTGCAACCTAAAATACACATTCAGCCAGACCGTCAAATCCACGAGTGCGACTGCATCGAACCGATATTTAAATTCATAGCCGGTCTTGCCCCGCTCCTCCCTCGCAATCTTTTTCTGGTTCGACACCGTGTCGTCGAATGCCGTTGGCCGATCTGTGGCACGCATCGCTTCTGCGAGGGGTGCCTCCACGCACTACGATAACACCGTAACCCCTCTCGGTCATCAGGCTATCGAACTCGTCGAATTCTCCGAATCCCTTCCTGTCACGACATCGGACAAGTCACACGATCCGCAATCTCGAGCCGTTGCGCACCACCCGGACAGTACCCTATACGGCACCGACGACGAGAAGAGGGTCCCCCGGCGCACCCAGCACAGAAGGCCGGATAGGATCAAGTTTTGGATAGAAGCTCTCCAACGCTGCGCTCATCGCCACCAGCGCACCCATTCGCCCAAGATGAAGTTCTCACACAGCATCCAGTTCAACGCGGTGCCGGATTGGAGTGCCTATTACCTCGCTTACAGCAACCTGAAGAAATTGTACGTCGTCCGACGCCTGTCTTCCCAATTCCGCTAGCACAATGCTCGCGTTGTGCGACTTTGCTTTCGTTGGGGGGAAGGGGAATCTTTGTATCCACTGGTCTCCTTTGCGAGGCGTCAAAGTGCTGAGCTAACCTGTTGTGGTAGGATATATTCCCTAGAACAGGAAGCGCACCGCTCGACTGGTCAGAGCCATCCCGATGTTGAGTCAGCGCCGCTGCTCGATAACACGCCGAACCCGGATGCGATCTTCCGTCGGGCTTTAGATGCTGAGCTGGAGAAAATCTGCTCTTTCTACCAAGTAAAGGAGGTGGAGGTGTTCAAGGAGGTCGAAGATGTGGCCAGACTTGCGGAGGACTATGTGTCTAGGGCCGACAGGGCAAATATCGACCCAATGAGCGAGAACATAATTAAGGCAAGGACCATGAGTTCCGGCTCGAGGAACCGACAGGAGCGGCGGCGTAGCACGTTCAGCGACACGATCAGAGATGAAGACGATGACGATGATGACGATGCAGACAGTGACGATGACCGAGCCGCGCCGACGGATCAGAACCGACCTCGATCGCATGGGGCCGAATCCAGTAATCACGACGGTAGTCGCACGGAGGATATGAGGGACTCGAGCGTCTGGGCGGCAGATTCTAGGCTACTAGGATATCACGGCCAATCTACGAGCCGTGCAGGCGCCCACGACGAGCAAAGCGCCGATCCCACCGTGGTGGATCTCTACAACGATGGTGTCTCGCTCAAGAAACAGGCTGTTACCGCCTACGTTTCCATCTGCGGGCTCAAGTCGTACATTCAGTTGAACAAGACGGGCTTCTCCAAGGCTCTGAAGAAGTATGACAAGATCATGGACCGTAACTTGCGCCGGGATTACATGAGCGCGGTTGTGGCTCCGGCCTACCCCTTTACGGATTACACCATGGAAAGAGTAGATGATCACATCCACAAGATCGAGGCTGTTTACGCTGAGGTGATCACTACGGGCAACCTGCCTCTAGCCAAGCGTGAACTGCGACTGCATCTGAGGGAGCATGTTGTCTGGGAGAGGAACACCGTCTGGAGGGAGATGATCGGCATCGAACGGAAGGCTCAGGCTGCTAACGTTGGTATTCGTCGCACTCTACTTGGGGGAGACGACGATCCAGCAGCCGCACGCCGCCAGGGTGACGAGCAAGAAACTAAAGGTACGGTGGTGAGGACGCCGATTGGTGTCTACCACCTCCCTCAGTGGGTTTGCAGCTTGAGCTTCGGTACACTTGTCTTCATTTTGGTTGTTTTTACGACTTTGCTTTCTGTTCCTATCCTGGAAAAGCCGGAGCAACAGAATTGTCTCGCTATGCTTGTGTTTGTCAGTTTGCTATGGGCTACTGAGGTATGTTTGGCCACGTTTCGGCCTCTCAGATATAATCACGGACAGCGCTAACTGGTTGCAGGTCATTCCTCTCTTCGTGACTTCGTTGCTTATTCCTTTCCTTGTTGTGATGCTTCGTATCATGAAATCCGAGGACAAGCCTCACCAGCGGCTGGGCCCGAAGGAGGCCACCAGCGCCGCCTTTAGTGCCATGTGGACGCCGGTAATCATGCTCTTACTCGGCGGGTTTACCATTGCAGCAGCGTTGTCCAAATACGATATTGCTCGCCGGATGGCCATGTTTGTGCTCAGCAAAGCGGGTTTTAATCCCCGAGTGGTCCTTCTCACCAACATGTTCGTGAGCATGTTCTTGAGTATGTGGATCAGTAACGTCGCCTCCCCAGTCTTGTGCTATTCGATCATCCAACCTCTTTTGCGCAACCTGTCGCCGGATTCGAACTTTGCCAAGGCCCTTGTCCTCGGAATCGCTCTGGCGGCCAACGTCGGGGGTGCCGCATCGCCGATTGCTTCTCCACAGAACATCATTGCACTTCAGAACATGTATCCGAGCATCAGTTGGGGTACATGGTTCTTCATCTCCTTGCCTGTGTGTATCATCTCTATCCTGCTGATTTGGGTCCTCCTGCTGGTTAGTTTCCATGTGGGTCAGGATACGACCATTGTTCCGATTCGACCACTCAAGGACAAGTTCACGGGCGTGCAATGGTTCATCACCATTGTGACTCTGTCGACCATTGGCCTTTGGTGTGGCAGCCACCAACTCGAACATATCTTTGGCGACATGGGCGTGATCGCCATCATTCCCATGGTTTTGTTCTTCGGCACTGGTATCCTCAACAAGGAGGACTTCAACAACTTTCTTTGGACCATCATCATCCTTGCGGCGGGCGGACTCTGTCTTGGCAAGGCTGTCACATCATCTGGGCTTCTGCACACGCTCGCCAATGCTATCCGGATGCGCGTGGAGCATCTGAGTCTTTACGGCGTGCTAATCGTCTTCTCCGCCTTGATTCTGGTCATCGCTACCTTCATCTCCCACACCGTTGCGGCGTTGATCATGCTCCCTCTGGTCCGTCAGATCGGCGTCAGCATGGCGGATCCTCACCCCAACCTGCTCGTGATGGCCAGCGCGTTGATGTGCTCTGTGGCCATGGCACTTCCCACCAGTGGCTTCCCCAATATGAGTACGTGACCCGCACTTTTCTTTTTGACTCTTACCATGCATCTAACTGACACTTGTCTCTAGCCGCCATCATGACTGAAGTCCCGCAAACCGGCCAGCGGTACCTGCAAGTCCGGCACTTCTTTACGCGCGGTATCCCGGCCAGTCTTATGGCGTTTGTCGTGGTCGTGACGGTAGGCTATGGGTTGATGTACATTGCGGGGTTGTAAGTGAGGATGACATGAGAGGGGATGCTTGGTTTGGGAATTGCGTGGCTGGGCTGCGGTACATGACTGTTCTTGGTGTAATGACTTCGAATCACCATGGCTAACGTTGTCGCTACGGTGGGTGAGTTTTGAGGTCTAGTACCGGACTTGGAGTGTATTGTATGCATGCCAATAGCCGTGGTGGCGGGGGGAGGAGGGCGGAAGGGGGGGATCTATCGGTTCTGTTCATGTTTGTTTTGTTTTACCTACCTAGCCCTTTCTTGTTCAACTGTTTCAATTAGATGGCAAATATATAGAGTATTGTTCATATATCTGGCTCAAGACTAGATGGCAGTTGCTTGACAGAATAACTCCTTTTGTATTGACAGCGTACTTCCGAAATACGGGCGCACAGGGATTTATCCTTGTGGCAGACTAGCAGTCATTGATCTGCCCACTCCATCAGATCAATAAGATCTTCGAGCATATACGTAGTGGAAAGAGTGCCAAACTTGTGTTAGAGTATAGGGCCTCGGGTTAGTTACGACTATCAGCAAATAGTTATAACTATTGGGTAACCAGCTTAGGACTACGAGCAACTATCTTGATGGATAGGTTGTAGTTGATTTTTGGGCTTGTGTTTAGCCAAGTAACATAAAAAGAGAGTTATGTATAGCTTTTACTTATCTTCAACTTGTATATCATTATTTTCAAGTTGGTTGTAACTCTTATCTAGGATTGATGGCAATGACCTACATTACTTATGAACGTTGAACAGTCGTATATAGCTTTCAAAACTCTTGGAAAAGCATCAGTGGCTATTTGTAATTGGCCATAAATATTTCACTGGAAGTTCACCTCTACAGCCCTTGTTCTACTGTGTATATAATTTCGGAGGCCTATAAACACTAATTCCTACTACGATGACTAGGTTACCCAAAGAACCCCAGACTTTTACTTCACACGACCAGCTCAAATACGGCCCCATCGTGCAAGGAAAAACCATGTTCATGCTGAGATTTGGTTCATCATATTCATTTCATCGACATAACAGGAGGTAGTAGAGTAATGAAGATAAGCGAGTTATTAGACAGGAAAGAGAGGAACCACACACACGAATATCTTCTAGGAGGATGCAAGCATGAAGTAGCAACAAAGAAAACTAGAAGCCAAGCACAACGACGAAATACATTTCAAGGCGAAAGAAAAGTGGAGGTATCAAAACCGTCAAGGCATAAGCATGAAACACCGCCCGCTAAGGAGGTGTGGTGTGTTGTTGTTGTTGGGGGAGGAACCGTGTGGATTAACACTTTTTCTATCGAGACCCTCGATTTTTCATTCTGCAGGAGAACGAAGAACCAGAAAAGAAATGAAAGCTCAAGTCAGGAAAATGTGGGAAACGCGAAGGAGGGCGGATTTCGAATCGAAAAAAGGGTGTCGTTGTTTAGTTCCTACGGTGAGTTTTCGGACGTGGTTAGCTACTATTCGCACTATGAGCTGGCTTCAAATAAAATCGGAGTGGAGAGAGAGAGAGAAGAGGGAATAGGGAAGAGTAGGGGGATGAACTTACAACAAGCCCAGAGTCAAATCACCGTGGATCTTGGCCTTCAATTGGACCTCGATGTCCAGGTTGAGATCCAGACGCAGTCGCAATTGTTCGTCCTTGCCATCGCCTTCGTCCTGCTTGCCACCACCGCCGAGGAGGCCGCCGACGGTCTTGCCCGCTCCGCCCGTAACTCCGCCCAGGGCTTGACCCGCCGTGTTCTGGACGAGATCGCCCGCCTGCCCGACTCCGGGGAGGCCGCCCAGACCGCCATCCTGGCCGCCTTGCTGCTGCTGCTGGGTGCGCTGACGGCGCTGGCGGCGGGGCTTCTCAACGGCTCCGTTGTCCATGTTGTTGCGGGGAATAGATTCCGTGTCGGATTCTTCTTGTTTGTGAAGTTTCTGGGGAGGACGCGAACGGCGTTTGCGCTGCTGCGGGTCCTTCTTGGGTTTGCTGTCGGCTTCGGATTGGGGTTCTTGCTTGGGTTGAGGAGCGTCGGATTCGGGCTCTTCTTTCTTGGGTTGAGGTTCGGCTTCTTCTTCGTCTTCTTCTTGCTTTATCTCGGGTTCTTGAGACTTCTCCTCGGGTTTATCTTGGTCCTTGGCTTGGTCTTGGTCTTGGTCTTGGTCTTGGGGTTGATCTTGATCTTGATCTTGTTCTTGGGATTGATCCTGATCCTTATCCTTATCGTCTTCCTTTTCCTCGTCAGGCTTTTGCTCCGATTCGTTGTTGTCTTCTTCCTTGGGCTGGTCAGGTTCTTGCTGCTGCTGCTGCTCGGACTGTTCTTCCTCCTGGGGCTGGGGGGAGCCTGGAGTGTTCTCTTGTTGAGGGGTAGAAGGGTTGGAGGAAGGATTGTTGGTCTGCTCGGACATGATGAAAGAAAAAAAAGAGAAGAATCTCAAGGAGGATTGATGGGGGGCACAAGGACGAATATATCTGGTGATGTTACCGGTCTGGTGATACGGGGTCGCAGATCTATATAGGGCTTTTTTCTTTCCTTTGCGTTGTGCATGTTACATACAGGCTTCCACCACTTCAACCAACTCCTTTTACCACCAATCCCAGCCGGTTATTTTGGACCAGAGATCGTTTTGTTTCGGTTTACCTTGATTACTTTCGATTACCTCAATTCCTCGATTGCAAGATGGGAAATGCCCCGCTCGGTTCAGTCATGCAAGGATCTGGGCATATTGTGGGTTGGGGAAATTTGGGGGGACTGCCATCGACGTCAGCTTGCGCCGCCGACGAGGGAGGCGAACGTCGTTGGTAGGTGGTCTTTTTTTTTTTTTTTTTTTTTTTTGTCTTTTGCTGCCAGGGCTGGGGATGATGACGTCGATTGCTGAGGAGGGAGGGGAGTTAGTGTTTTTTTTTGACAGTGACAGGGGCCTTTTGTTCTTCTTGTTCATTGCCAATGGCATACCAAATGATCCAATAAGAAGAAGGTATCGGACAATATGCTATTTATTGTTTGATTGACTGTGCCGTGTGTCTCCACCAACTTATGCCCTTTCCAGTCACTGTGGATGACGCCAACAGACGTCACTCTCCAACGGCCTGAGAAGTCATGGATTACACGGACAATACCCTCATTGTTACCACAAGTACATTCAGTATACCTCTGGAGCTCACTACTTGGGATTCGCTTCATGAATTGCTGCTCTTCACAGCACATAAGAGTTGATAGAAGTCAAAATAAAAAGTATAGGAATGTGTCAAGATCGGATACGCAGTGCCGATTTGCCTCTTTTTCTGACCTCTTGGAATGACCCGCAGTGCACTTTCCATGGCTCTTCTCTCGGCCGTACCTCTGCCATTTCCAGGTACCGAGTACACATGGCATGCTATTCTGGTTACCCGATGGTCACACTATACTCCGATACGTAATTTGACTACTGTACTCTATGAAATTGTTTTACTCAGTATATTCGAACAGTGCAGTCTACGTACTCCCCCCCGTGATGACGATGAATTCATTCGGTGGTCATTGTAACCCCACCACTTCCACCACCACCACCACCACCCCTTGCGCCCTCAAACGAGGGTCCAGACAACGTGGCCCGGCCGATCAGGAATCGGCTGACCTGAGAGCTGGAGCGATGCTGCAACGACGATGATGTCGTTGATGTCCGTGGTGCGGAGGCGCTTCTTTGGCTCTCCTTCCCTGTCCCTCAGACGTCATATCGCTTGACTTCTCCCATCGGTCATGCGAAGTCATTGCAGTCTTTCCCTGCCCATTACGCCTGCTTTTCCAGACCTGTCCTTCCTCACAGACCATTTGCTCGTACCACTCACCCTATTTGTCTCTTTCGTTCTTCGACCCTCTGCCCTCTGACGATTCGCCTTCTACTTGTCAGTCCCGTCCCATCGGTGTTGAGCCATCTCGTATGTAAACCCACCATTGTCGCTCCGGCTCGCTCCATTCCTCTTTTTTCCCTTTCTCTCGTTTTGCTTGATTACATACTCATACTCGTCGTTGACCTGACGCGCCCAGGCACTAGCCACGATTGATCCCTCGGAAGATACACAGATATACAAGTAGTATAAACCGCAATTTGATTACGTTGTGATTGCCTCTTCCCTGCACCAACCAGCAGCAACGAACATACACCATGGCCACCGCACAAGCCGAGAAACCCAAGACTCAACAGCCTCCCACTTACACTAACGATCCTGACGACTCGGAGACTGATTACGATTCGGATGACTACATCTCCGAGGAAGAGGAAGATCAAGCACCGCAACAGAAGCAGACGGCCCAGCGTCGCCGGCGACCTCAGGCCCAAGGCCAGACTTACGACGATGACGATGACGATGCAGAGTACTCTGATGACTATGCCTCAGACGAGTACGACGATGACGACGATTACGACGATGAATATGACGATGACGAGCAAGAAGCTGTGCAAGCGATGGAGCGCTGGCAGCCTACTACGATAAGCAGCAGTGACAACAAGAACCTCTCCAACGGCGCAATGGATCCGGCACCCTCGAACGACCAGAAGGGCGCAGATGAGGAGGGTATGCGCCTGAAGTTGGAACTGAACTTGGAGATCGAGGTTGAGCTGAAGGCTCGCATCCACGGTGATTTGACATTGGCTCTGCTGTAAGTGACCCCCACTCCTGCACTATACCCCTATACTCCTTGCTTTCTTTCGTGCTTGTATGCTTCTCTTGTGGTTCGCCTCGAGAAGAACCTTCGAGGTATCTTTCCTATGAGAGAGTCTTCGGGGGTTTTCCGACCCGGCAACACTGAAAAACAACAACAACCCCACAAAAACTCCCGTTGGACTCCGCTTAAGCAACTGAAATAGAACCTGACGGATTGACGATTTTTCTTTGATGAACGCAGCGCATGATCCGACATGCTCTCCACCGATTCGATTCTGTTGTGCTTCGAAAGCGACCGTTCCATCTGAATTCCTTCTCGAGACTTTCCTCGCCATCGCAAAACGTCCCGTTTCCACCGCCTGTGCTTGTCGCGTTACGACGATTATGAAAGGATCTTTACCTGACTGGTTGATTACTGTCGCTTTATTCTTTGTGTTGTCAGCTGTTCTCATAGAGCTTTGGCTAGTGTTTATTGTGCATAATTATACTCCCATCGTTGGTCATTTTGCGTTATAGCGGTAAATGTAATGATCTATTTCAAGTCAATGATCCGGACCTTGGCACGGTGTACTATCGATCCTTCTTCGTGATTCATGCATAGGGGGACCGCTGCTTATGTCTATCATTTATGACAAGGATGCGTGCGTGAACCATGCTGACATCGAGTCGGATAGATCTACCAGGCTGACCAATGGTCTGTGACCCTGTCACCTAGTATCCCAGGGTTGTCTTCAAAACCAAGTTGTACTGCTAGGGGAGTCCCCAGGTGGTGCGGGCTTCTCCGACTATACAACGGCTTGGCGTATTTCGAGCCAACAACACCGGCGACCACCCAAGACTGAGAAAAAGACAGATCTGCCGTCCAACTGTTTTGATCACAAGAACACCAAGAAGACAGCATATTCCATGGTCGAATGCAAGAACCCATAAATGGGGTTGCACGGGAAAAACACATGCGAAGCATGGGGTGACTTTTAGCCCGAGGTCTCCGGCGGCCCTTCTGGATTCTTGGCATCGCAAAAGGGAGTCAGTCCATCATCCATCATTCCGGTTATGTCCAACAGTGTCCTACCACATCCACCACCACTACATTATTCTATTCTGCCTGACTCGCCGGTCATTGAGTAGTATATAGACTCAACTCACAGACCGCTACTTGTGACATCTCCCATCGAGTGACTTAACCTATAATTCGAAGAAACCAGAGGAGCGAGGAAGAAACGACGGGCAAAACAAAAAATGTCTCCTCTACCACCCCAATCACCAACCTCCTCGTCTGGCTCATCCTCTTCTTCCGCTGGTAAAACCAACAACAACGGAATAGCCTTCACCATCACCCACATGAACGCCAACCACCAAGACTCCCTCGCCTACTACCTCCGCGTGTACAACGGCGTCTCCGCCGCCGAGGCCTCAACCGCGACCCTCGAAACCATCACGCTCTCCGATCTCGTCCTCCGCACCAACCACAACCACAACACCGGCAACCGCTACACCGTGGCGCTGGACCCGCCGCTGCAATCCTTCAGCGAGACCCGCGCCCGCCTCGTCGCCATGCACAAGGAATGTCTGGAGCGGCTCAACCTCTCCGACATCAAGATCACCACCTACCGTGTGCCGTCCCGGCCCGGCGACATCCTCGCCTTCCTGATCTGTCTCTCGGGCATCCTGGCGTTCAGCCGGCGGGAGAACCTGCTGCCGGGCGGGTGGGTGTACGAGGGCTTGCGGTTGGAGACCGGGTGGTGGTGGCCCCAGGGATTCGCGGGGTTCTGCGCCAGGATGCAGCCGGCGGTGTTGGCGTTTACGCTGGTCGTGCATGCGTTCGAGGCATCCGTGCTGGCGTATACGCGGCTACGGAGGCATGGGGTCGCGCTGGGGTCCCGGGTGTGGTGGGCGTGGGTGCTGTCGACGCTGATCGAGGGGTTCCAGGGGTTCAAGCGGTTTGATCGATTGGTGCGCGAGGAGGAGGCGAAGAAGAAGTAGTGGTGGTAGGACTATTTTACGGATATTTCAGTTGTGGATGTGGAGAATCTTGAGCGCGGTGGTTGAAAGGTTCATTTGATGAGATCTAGGGTAGATAGGCTATGCTATGCATTGAGGTACTGAGGTACTCTAGTAGTAGTAGTAGTAGTAGTAGTAGTAGTCCACACTATGGTGCTTTGTCCGGCTGTGCTCTTTAACCTCTGCAATGCTCGGACCAGTTTTCTAGTGGTGCTCTGCTGGGAAGCCCGTTTCAGGCTTAGCGCAAAACTACCGAGATAGGGCTAGTGGCTATTGTCCTTGGCGGCCGATTAGATAAGAGGGCGGGCAGACAGTGCGTCCGAAAACCGCCTGGCGAGAGGCGGGATGACTCAGCACATCACCTGACATGACTAGCCCCATGCAGACTAGCCCGGGGTAGGGCAAGTGTCCCCCCCCAACAAGCGAGCCACAGTGCGAAATTCACGAGACAGTCGACGACCAGCATCAACAACTCCTACGACCAACCCCATCGACCCTTGCCCGCTGCGTTCCTGGTGAAGGGCTGCAGGATTAGAGGTGAGTTTATCGCAACAGTCTCTGTGATCATTTGCGATCCCTTTCGTGAAGCTCTGGATTTTTTTTTCTGTTTCTCCGGTCTCGTTCGACAAGTCGGTTGGTGCGCGTGCAAGTCTCGGTCTCGAATCTCGAATTGAAGCCGTTATCAAAAGAACGGATCGCAAGAATACGACGACAGAATAGTTGGGGGTGAAATATCGACACGATTTGCAAGGAAGCCAGTACAAGAAGAGTTTTTCATCATATCGATAAGTCTCCTTGTGATCGATCGCTCCGTCTATCACGTTCGGTTGGATCGCACAATTGCAACATCAGTGTTTTTTTTTCTTCTTTCCTGCTTTCGACCCAACAACTCGTTGACGACACACTCGACGATTAATTGAATACTTGCTTGCTCGCTCTAACCCACCCAACCGACGGCATCAAATACGAGACTTTTGAGGAACGAAGGAAGAATCTCTTGTGGCCTACACAGAAGGGGATCGCATCAGGCTCTGTACGAAAAAGGTCACTAATTCTTTCTCTTGGTTCAGTCCCCACGAACAGCAAATATGGGTATCTCTCGTGATTCGCGCCACAAGCGCTCGGCCACCGGTGCCAAGCGGGCCACTTACCGCAAGAAGAGGTATGCAACACCTGTCGCCTGTACACGCACTGCTCCCAGTTGCGAAGCAATAATCGAACGTATACTGACATTGGTCGAATTCAAGAGCCTTCGAGAAGGGTCGCCAGGCCGCCAACACCCGTATCGGTGCTAAGAGAATCCACCTGGTCCGCACCCGTGGTGGTAACCAGAAGTTCCGTGCTCTCCGTCTCGACTCCGGCAACTTCTCTTGGGGTTCCGAGGGTGTCTCCCGCAAGACCCGTGTCATCGTCGTGGCCTACCACCCCTCCAACAACGAGCTGGTCCGCACCAACACCCTGACCAAGTCCGCCGTTGTCCAGATCGATGCCGCCCCCTTCCGTCAATGGTACGAGGCCCACTACGGCCAGCCCCTTGGCCGCAGACGCCAGCAGAAGACCGCCGAGGTCACCGAGGAGAAGAAGAGCAACAGCGTCCAGAAGAAGCAGGCTGCTCGCTTCGCCGACCACGGCAAGGTCGAGGGCGCCGTTGAGAAGCAGTTCGAGTCCGGTCGCCTCTACGCCGTTGTCTCCTCCCGCCCCGGCCAGAGCGGTCGCGTGGACGGCTACATCCTGGAGGGTGAGGAGTTGGCTTTCTACCAGCGTGCTATCCGCAAGTAAGCGTCGTGTTTACTTCATATAAAATTTTTCCAATTTCATAAAATTTTACAAAAAATGGATATCTCGCGCGCTGTGCTGGTGTGGTTGTGGTCTCTGGGAAGGAATGAATTATTATTCTTCGGAGTTAGCAATGTAATGAACTGGTAGCTCTGAGAAATGGATGAATTATGCAAAGTTCAGATCTGGTGATACTTGGGTTTTTTTTTTTTTTTTACTAGAAAGCAGACAGACAGTATAAGTAGCGTGGATGTAGTGTGTAGTTGTGTGTTGCCTGGTTGGACTTAGTCTTGGTGTTAGTGAATGGGTTGATCGCCTGTCTGATGACGAAAGAGAGACTTCACCCGCGCAGTCCTTCCTCCCCCCTACATCTTATACTTCCTCCGTTCTTCGCTGTTATACTCCATCAACCACCACCCCATCGATGATATAATTTTACCCTCCCCTCTGTTCCCCGGTGTTTTATTCCACTTCCTTCTCCAGCCAGTCCCAGAACAACAATCTTGGTTTCAACCCACTTTCCGTCCACCAGTCATCTAACTAATCACACCATCTCTCCAACATCCTACTACATCCTACTACATAGAACCCAATCCCACCAACAAACACCAACCTCTAATCCTCAACTTACCTGTTACCTCCCACTGGCACCACCCATAATACACCCAAAGGGAAACCCCATCATCATCACCGCACCCCCATCCCAAAGCACCAGACAACAAACCAGAAAATGAACCGCAAACAACCCACCCAAAAAACCACCCTCCTCCTCTTAAGCGACACCCACACCCTCACCCCGCAACCCCCAACATCCTCACCCTCACCAGCCTCCTCCCCCTCCTCACGAGACCAAGATTCCTCCCCCCCACCCCCGGCCTTCCTCGACCCCTTACCGGCCGCCGAAATCCTCATCCACGCCGGCGACCTGACCAAAGTCTCCCGGCGCCACGAACACCTCACCACCCTGTCGTACCTGAAATCCCATCCGGCCTACCTGAAACTCATCATCCCGGGCAACCACGACATCACCTTCGACGCGCCCTACTACGAATCGCTGGGCCACCACCGCCACCGCAACCGGACGGACCACACGGCGCCATCCGCGACGGCGTCCGCGACGAATATCAGTTCGGGGAAGGCGGAGCCGGGCCAGCTGGAGGACCCTGAGGAGATTCGTCGGTTGTATACCGGTCCGGAGGCGTGGGATGCTGGGATCCGGTTGTTGGGGGAGGGGGTGCATGAGTTTGAGTTACCGGGGCAAAAGAAGAGACGGCTGAAGGTGTATGCGTCGAGTTGGACGCCAGAGTTCTGTCAGTGGGCGTTTGGGTATGAGCGCGGCGTGGATCGGTTTAATCCGCCTGCTGCTTCATCGTCTGGGACTGTCGAGGGGAAAGAGGTTAAGATGAAGGAGGATGGGCAGGCGAATGGTGGGGTGGATGGGGTGGAAGAAGAGAATCCGGCCATTGGGACGCGGACGGAGGAGCATCATCACCACCACCACCATACAAATGGCTATGCCCACCACAACGAATCCCAGAACCACAACCACCAAGACCCCCAACCCAACGAAACCACCGCCGAGACGCGCGAACGCACCCGCACGCACGGCAGCACCGGCTCGCGCGGCGAGGGCGCGCGCGGCGCCATCGCCGCCAACTCCGGACGCGGCGGGTTCGTCGCCCCCGCGCCGATCCCCGATTCTCCGGAGGGTATCGACATCGTGATCACCCACGGCCCGCCCTACGGGATCCTGGACCAGGTCGTGCCCAACCATGTGAGCGTCGGGTGCGAGCACCTGTACCGCGCGGTGAAGCGGGCGCGCCCCCGGCTGCACGTCTTCGGCCACATCCACGAGGGGTACGGGGCCATGCGCCGCGAGTGGAGCACGGGCAACGACTCGATCATCCAGTGCGACCAGCCGCGCACGCGCGAGGAGCACTGCGCCCGCGTCGACGTCAGCAAGACCAGCATGATGCCCTTGAACCCGGGCCAGGAGACCCTGTTCGTCAACGCCAGTGTCGTCAACGTGCAGTATCATCCCATCAATGCGCCGTGGTTGGTGGAGATGGAGTTGCCGGTTGTCGAAGGGGAATCAGGGTAATTGAACCCCAAGCTCAAGTTGAAAGGGGTGGAGATTACTTCAATTGGGGGGGGGGG